GCTTTTTCTTTTAAAAATAGTCTCTACCAGCTATTCGGGGTCTTTTCTGGCCTCTAGTACTGAAAGACCCTGTCATGATAGAATTAATAAAATTCTCATGCTTTTACGTCAGCTGTGGTGGTGAGAGATGGTCTCTGGGTGGCGACTCCTCCTTCTTGGTGATTGGACTCTAGGGTCCAACAGTTTTTAAATCCTTTCATAACCTTGTTTTTATGACAGGACAGAAATTTCATATAAAAATCCATCCCAATCAAAGTATTTTGGAGACCCGTTTTGGCTGCTTTGGTAGGCCTACTCTCCGTGGTCACCTTGAATCAAGATGACTGCGGTGAAATCACATGACATCCATCTTCCCTAACCCTAGCAAAGATGGCTGTCAGACACGCGACTGCCCAAAGATGGTGGCAATCCAAACTGGAATCATGCCCATGAAATAATTACTATGCTCTGCCAGAAACAAACATTTCAACGTACTCTGACCCTCATCTAACTTAGGGTCTCTGTGGGTTTGCCTTTAAAAATGCTGTACCCTATGAGAGCCAAAGTTACATTTTAAGTTTTAATTACTCTGTAGTAAGTTTAATCTCTATGAAACAAAAAATATCTCTGATCTGCCAGCCCCTTGCCCAAGGGCAGATAGTTTGTAAAATGCTGGAGGCTGTTGTTTATGGGAGATAACAAGCCATGTGTTTTCACTCCCCCTAAACAAGTTTGTTTGTCCTGTCTGCACCAGACATGCTTGGTCACATGTGGGTGACAGGATCACAGACTGGAGGTACTTCAGGATGTGTGCTTGCCCCTGATTGGGTGTAGGCTATAGGTCAGGATGTATGCTTGTCCCTGATTGGACCTGATGGGACATACAAAAGCAGGTACAAAACTTACTTGACTCCGTGCCATCTTCTGGAGACCCAGAGATGGACCTGTCCAGAGCCCATCCACCTGGCCAGTACCACCCAGCTCAATAACTATTTCATATGGATCATTTCACAGCCTCCTGAGCTTTTGTTGAAAATTACCTCTTTGGCCGGCCGGTGGTGGTGCACGCCTTTAATCCCAGCACTCGGGAGGCAGAGGCAGGCAGATCTCTGTGAGTTCGAGGCCAGCCTGGTCTGCAAGAACTAGTTCCAGGACAGGCTCCAAAGCCACAGAGGAAACCCTGTCTCGAAAAACCAAAAAAAAAAAAAAAAAAGGAAGAAGAAGAAAAAAAAAATCCTTAAAATTAACTCTTTGAAATTGATTGCTAAATTTTGAAATAATGTTATGAATGGTATTAAAGATAACTATAACTGTAACTAAAATATAAAGTACATATATTTTTTAATTAATTCAGTATCCTGAGATAAAATGGTTTAAATTTGTCGGGTTGTGGTGACACACACCTTTAATCCCAGCACCCAGAAGGCAGAAATAGGTAGATCTCTGTGAGTTCGAGGCCAACCTGGTCTACAGAGCAAGCTTCAGGACAGGATTCAAAGTTACACAAAAACCCGTCTCGAAAAACAAAAAAACAACAAAAACAAACAAAAATTGTTTAAAATTTCTATCACAGTATTTCCTTAAGTATTGATTTTTTTCTTACTAAATGAACATTTAAAAACCTATAATTAAGTATATTTTCTTATTAGACAAAGCCTTTGCTTTTCAAATAGTCCTTGCCTTAAGTGTATAAAATCTGCTTAAAGAATGATTCCTACTTCCAGGACAGGCTCCAAAGCCACAGAGAAATCCTGTCTTGAAAAGCCAAAAAAAAAAAAAAAAAAAAAAAAAGAATGATGCCTACATAAAATAGTCCCGCTAAATTACATAGTGATTGTAAACATGGTACTGCTGGACAAATATTTAAATTTCCTTATAAACATTGGTCTGTTAGATAAAGAAATAACACAAGCTATCCAGGGCTACACAGAGAAAACCCTGTCTCAAAAAAATAGAGAAGTAATATACGTGTGTGTGTGTGTGTGCATGTGTGTGTGTGTGTGTGTGTGTAAAACAGTTCATAGAATGCAAATAACTGTAAATACAGGGGAACTATATAGTTAGTCTTGTAAATTTTGGTTATTTTAGGTAGGATCGCCATTTTGGACTGAGGTAGAGGTAAGAGCCAGTGGCTGTCTGTTTTGCTTTTCTGATCTTCAGGTTGAACCCCAATCTCTCTCTCTGACTTTTTATTAATCATGCATCACAGTACAACAATCTATGTCACATGTCAGCTACAGAAGGTGTAGAAAACAATTCATACGTAGCTCATAATGGCAGACACTTCTGACATGATACAGAGGCTTACTTATTTATCCTGGAGCTTGCTCTGTAGATCAGGCTAGCCTCAAACTCTAGATCCCTGCCGGCCTCCCAAATGCTGGAATTAAAGGAGTGTACCACCTCCACCCCATAAGAGTTTCTTCTTTAATGACCTTTATCAGGAATTCCTGTCTCCTGAAGACTGCAGTCCTGCCTACTACTAAGCCTCACCTACCTGAGAACCTAAGAATGTGCTTCCTACCTAAGAGGGACCTTATAATAGTTAATAGACTGTGTAGTCCTGAATGCATAATACGTCATAGTTGGCCAACAGGAGGACCCGTGAGTGAGAACTCCTGAGTAGAATCTGTGTGCAGAGCCTGGTGGGTTAAAGTTTCAATACTGTGATGGGGTTGAAATGTGTGGGCCCAGAGGCTAATTATCTTATCACGAGGCGCAGTTGTGGCACTCTGGGACAGCCATTCCTGCCTTTCCCCTGTGTTGGAACTAACATTCTGTGGCGATAGACAAAGCCCTTTTAGAATCTATTGACTTAGCAGACCACTAGCTCCCACCAATCCAAAATAAGCATCATCAGATACAGCATCTCGAGCCTCCAGAAAAGCTTCCACCTCCCTCTCTGAGGATGCACCTACCAATGTGGAGTTTTTTGTTTGTTTGTTTTTGTTTTTGTTTTTCGAGACATGTTTCTCTATAGCTTTTGGAATCTGTCCTGGAACTAGCTTTTGTAGACCAGGCTGGCTTTCGAACTCAGAGATCCACCTGCCTCTGCCTCCCGCGTGCTGGGATGAAAGGTGTGCGCCACCATGGCCCAGCCCCACCAATGTATTTTGAACTTGCCTTGGTTTATGACTTTCTGGTCTCTGAAGCTCTACAAACTTCAGGAAACTGCTTCTGCGTTGGAATAAGGAATTCAAGGTAACCTAAATCTGTGTTCGCAGAACATGGTCACTCAAAATGGCTTCAAATAAACTCTTGTTCCCTGTAAGATGAAGGCTATGCGTTTTATGTGACATACCATACAGAGCCCTAGGCATGGTGGCCCTTGTCTGTCATTCCATCACTGGGAGGAGGCTGCGGCCAGAGAATCAGGAGTTCAAGGACAGCCAGCTGCACAGTGAAACCCTGCCCTTCCACCAAATAAAAGTAATAAATAAGAAGCCAAAGCAGTCAGCTAATGGCTGAAATTGGGGTGGGGTGGGGTGGGGTGGGGAGTGAGGCCTGACTGGGAAACTTCCAGAGAACTATCCCAGGTCAGGAAGCAGCTAGATTGGAAAAAGATAGAGCTTGCTTGGTAGGAAACCTGTCTCCCCACGCCCAGCAATTTGTTGATACAAACTTTCAGATCAACAGAGTCCCCTAGAGCCAGTTCCTGAGGCTCCCTCAGGACTAGAAAAGGTTTGGTCTCAGGGTGGAGGGAAGATGTGTCCAAGGACATTCTTAGACGGGCACTGTGACAGTTTGGCTTCCTCAGCAGAGCCCCAGGACCAGGGAGCCACCCTCACAGAGTCTGGCCCGAAGATGAGCTCCGGTAAGATGTGGCCCAGGGCTTCTCGGCACCAGGGGAAAGGCGTGGGGCTGATGACTGGGGGTGTGTGGCTGTCACCAGTGGACTTCACACAGCCCTTTATCAATCAACAAACAGAGCATACGTGTCCTCTGAACCGGGCCAAGATTACACCAGGTAGGGAGGAGAGCTGGGGTACTATTTGCAGGATGTCAGAGAACAGCTTCGGAGTTGGTCTTAGTCCACTGTCAGATGAGATCACATGGGTTGTCAGGTCATAGTAAGCAATTTCGCCTTCTGAGCCGTCTCCCTGACTTAGTTGTGTGTGTGTGTTGAGGGGGGAGTGGTTTTGTGCACCATGGTGGTGCACACCTTTAGTCCCAGCACCTGGGAGGCAGAGGCAGTGGATCTCTGAGTTTGAGGCCAGCCCAGTCTACAGAACGAGTTCCAGGACAGTCAGGGCTACACAATAAACTCTCTCTCTCTCTCTCTCTCTCTCTCTCTCTCTCTCTCTGTGTGTGTGTGTGTGTGTGTGTGTGTGTGTGTGTGTGTAAGGGGGAGTACGGTATGGGGTAGAGAAAATGTACACCATACCTGGCTTCTTCCTTTTTTTTTTTTTTCAAACAGACTCTCAATTTAGTCTAGGTTGGGTCTCAAAACAGCATTTCTCCTGACTCAGCTTCCCAAATGCTGGGATTAAAGGCCTGAAGTGCCACGACTGGCCCACCCCCAGCACTGGGGTTGTAGACCTGTGCCACCTCACCTGCACACCCCCAGTGCTGGGGCTGTAGACCTGTGCCACCTCACCTGGCATTTTACATGGGAGCTGTGGGTCTGCTTGTGCAGAAAGTCTCCGACCACTCGGGTAGTCTTCCCAGCCCCCAGCCCCACCCCAGAAAATACTGTGTAAAGATCCTCCCTGGGCAGTTCATGAGTGAGACATGCCCAGGGGCAAGGCTTGAGGTTCCCACAAACAGGTGAGCAGGGAGAGTACACAGTTTAAATTTAGGTATTGGGCCAGCGAGAGTACCGAGTGGGTAAAGGCGCTTGCTGCCAAGTCTGAGGACCTGACCCACATGGTACAAGGAAGAACAGACTCCACAAGTTGTCCTCAGACCTCTGACCTCCACATGCAGAACATGGCTCATGTGTGTCTACACATAAAATCAACAAGTCAATCAACTTAGATGAGTATGCTCATCTAAACTTCTGGCCTCTCCCTTCCTTTTAGGCATGCAGTCGGCCGGCCCCCACAAGGCTGTCCCCACAGCTCACATCACTGTCGTTATTGACTGTGCCACTGGGAAGCAAGTCTCCCTGGCGGCACCCCCAGTACCAGCCCAGGCATCAAGGCCCAGCCAGGGACGTGTCACTCCGCCCATGAAGACTTTTGTTATGTTCTATGGAGAAAACACGCTGCGTGGGACTCAAGACTTTCCGCTCAGTTGCAGGCCTCTTGCCAGGACCAGGGATACCATGCCAGCCGTGCCATCCGACAGAAGACTCCCGGCTCTAGCTCCCCCGACCAGCCCGCCGAGTACTCAGGACGATCCTCAAGTCAAAAGCAGCTCCTTGAAGCCTGGAGCTACTGAAAGGCACGCAGCTTGGGACACAGTTAAATGCTCACTCCAGGCGCTCTCTTCCTGTGTCTGTGGGCAGGCTGAGTAGTTTGGTGGCAGGATCTGTCCGGGGTGGCGGGTGCGGGGCGGGGAGGGGGGGAGCCTGGGAAAGTCTGAACCCAGGAAGGCGTCCTGGAAGTAAAGGATCTAAGAGCCAGTCCTGTCTCTGTCCTCTTCCCCGTCCTCTGCCAGGCTCTCAGCTAAGACCAGGCATGGAATCAACCAAGCACCTTCTACCTACCCTACAGGGTGCTGCCAATGACGTCACGGCTTTGCTGATGCTTGGGAAGGGAGAGGGGTTGAGCAAGTGACCAAATAAATAAACATGATGTTTTGAGCATTGCTGAGCAGATTTGTGACACGATAGTGTCTTTCCTGGTGCAGGGCTTGGGGACGGGCCAGTTGTACAGGATGTTTTAATTTAGAAAAAGCAGCGAGAGAGAGAGGGGCCATGCAGCAGAGCTCAGGTGGAGGGCTTTTTTTTATTGGGGGAGAGTGAATGGGAAAAGGGGAAACAGAGAGAGAAAGAGGGAGGAATGGGAACCTCTTACAGGGCAGGGCCCTTTTAAAAGGGAACGTAGTGAATGCGCTCAGGAGGTGCCCTTAGTGGCTGCAGCTGAGGACGTAGGCCCCATGGTCAGGCCAGTGCAGATGCCTGAATGCTAATACAGGTAAGGCAGTACGAGCTGAAAAACAGAAAGAGCCAGCCCCAAGGAATTTTTTTCTCCTTACGGAAACTCACCCACATCTCATCCCAGAGCAACCAGGGAGAGCTCCTCTGTGGTGTCCCCGTGTGATGGTCAGCCGGGGTTGAATGAAACCCTTCTCAGAGAAGGGTGGGGGTCAGCAAGAACGATGGCTTAGCAGTTAGACCATAGATTACCCTTGGAGAGGACCTGAGTTTGGACTTCAGCTTTCCCGGCTTCCCACAGGCACACATTTACATAGATAAATACACGTGCACATCAACAAAAAAATCTTTAAAAACAAAGAAAAGGATTAAGTCAGGCCATGGTGACACCGCCCTTGACCCCAGTACTCGGGAGCCAGAGGCAGGCGGATCTCTGAGTTTGAGACCAACTGTGTCTACTGAGTGAGTTCCAGACAGCCAGGGTTGCACAGAGAAACCCTGTATTGAAAACAAAAAACAACAAACAGACAAAGAAAAGAAAGAGAAGGACTACAGACTCCTCCCCTCCTCACTACAGAACGTGGGCAGGCAGGCAGGAAGCCTAGGGGCTGGACATTAGCGCAGACTAGGGAGAGACAGTTTGGACTAGGCACGAAGTGACAGTGTCATATAAACGGCTCACGTCCACTGGGCAAGTGGATTATGTTCTGCCCTCTTCTCGATGCACCCGTGAGCTGCACAGCCCCTGTCCACCAGCAGGTGTCGCCCTATCACCAGCTGGACTCCGTTTTCCTAAAGTAAAGCTATCATCTTCTCCTACCACCTAAGTGCGGGATAATGACTGTTTATGACAAGCATGGTAACTCGGTGAAGGTTCAGGGTTCCTGCACTGTTCTTGCGCTCAGTACAGGCAGCTGTCTTTGTAGCTACTGGCTAGCAGCTGTATGGGTGGCACACCACAGCGGCTCACGCCAGTTCAGTCTGCATAGACATGATTTTTTACTACCATTTTACAAATGAGAAAATTAAGACCACAAAGGTGAAGCTTTGACCATGGTCGCTATTTTTTTTGTTTGTTTTCTGAGACAGGTTTTCTCTGTGTAGCCATAGCTGTCCTGGAACTTACTCTATAAACCAGGCAGGCTGGCCTCGAGTCACAGAGATCCACCTGCCTCTGCCTCCTGAGTACTGGTATTAAAGGTGTGTGCCACTACCGCCTGGCTCATGATCACTAATTATTAAGGAGGGTGGGAGAACAGAAGGAAGAGGGAAGGGGGGAGAAGAAGGGAGAAGGAGGAAGAAGAGAGAAGGGGCAGGAGCAGAGGAAAGGCAAAATGAAGAAGGACCAGAAAGGGAGGGAAGGGGGAAGCAAGTCAATTTGTAGCCCTTCCCTTCTCCTTCTGGTTCTCGGGGGTAGTGTGCTGGGGTCCTTCAGGGAGGCATCCCAGACAACCCCAACCCTTTCCATAAACCCCAGACTCCCACAAAGACCGTACCTAGTTTCTACCTGTGCCAGCTGCAGCCAGGCTGCTCAGGTGCCTACTGCCTGCACTGTGCCCATCATCCTCAGGGACAGAGGCTTCAGTGCAGCAAACACAGCCCATGGAGCTCCTAAGACATCTGTGGTCTCAAGAGAGATCCTGGATGTAGGCAGATTTTTTTTCTACCCCATCAGCCAGCTCCAAAATAACCACATAGAGACTTCTTATTAATTATGAAATATTAGTAGCTCACTGGTAGCTTAAGCTTATTACTAACTAGCTCTTACAACTTAAACTCTCCATCACTATTTATTTACATGGGGCTTGTTACCTCATCTCCTACATGACCTGCTTCACCTGAGCCTGGCTGGCGACGCTAACATCTTCTTCCCAGTGTTCTCTCTGCCCCAAGAATCCTGCTAGCTCTTGGCTGTTCAGCTTTTTATTAAGCCAATCCAAGTGACACATCTTCACAGTGTACAAAAAGATTATTTCACAGCACCTGGGTAAGTGGGACCGGGTTCTCTTTCAGAAGGGCACCCCAGAGATTCTTACTAAGCATAATACAGCAGCAGTTAAGGTCCATTAAGTAAAAAACAAATTCCTTCTGATTGAGGGGATAAAATCTGTGGCCTGGATGGAGACCGAACGTTCTGAGCTACCCAAAACTTAAAGAAATTAATAAAGTTGGGCCAGTCAGCCTCTAGCCTGAGGGACTACCCCTGGTGTCTTAGGGTTTTTATTGCTGTGAAGAGTCACCATGACCACGGCCGCTCTTATAAAGAAAACATTTAATTGAGGGTGGCTCACTTACAGTTTCAGAGGCTCAGTCCATTATAATAAGGAAGGGAACATGGCAGCGCGCAGGCAGACATGGTGCTGGAGCTGAGAGTGCTACATCTTGCGGGCAGCAGGAAGTCAACTGACTGTCACACTGAGGCAAGTTTGAGGAAAAGAGACCTCAAAGCCCGTCCCACAGTGACACACTTCCTCCAACAAGACCACATCTCCTAATAGTGCCATTCCTTTGGGGATCATTTTCTTTCAAACGATCACAGAGAGGAAAGGCTTTATTTCATCTTAAAGTTTGTAGTCCATCACCCAGGGAAGTCAACAGGAGGCCTCGGAGGGGTGCTGTTTACTGCTTTGTTCCCCTTGGCTTGCTCAGACTGCTTCTATTTTTTTTAATTTTTTTTTAATTTTTTTTTAATATTTTTTTTATTTATTCTGTCTGCATGTATGCCTGAAGGCCAGAAGAGGGCACCAGACCTCATTACAGATGGTTGTGAGCCACCATGTGATTGCTGGGAATTGAACTCAGGACCTTAGGAAGAGCAAGCAGTGCTCTTAACCTCTGAGCCATCTCTCCAGCCCTAATTTTTTTATTGATTTTTTCTTGAGCTCTATATTTTTCTATGCTCCCCTCCTTACCTCTCCCCCACCATTCAGCCCTCTCCCATGGTCCCCATGCTCCCAATTTACTCAGGAGATCTTGTCTTTTTCTACTTCCCATGTAGATTAGATCCAGGTGTCTCTCTTAGGGTCCTCATTATTGTCTAGGTTCTCTGGGATTGTGATTTGAAGGCTGGTTTTCTTTGCTTTATGTTTAAAAACCACTTGTGAGTGAGTACATATGATAATTGTCTTTCTGGGTCTGAATTACCTCACTCAAAATGATGTTTTCTAGCTCCATCCATTTGCCTGAAAATTTCAAGATGTCGTTATTTTTTTCTGCTGTGTAGTACTCCATTGTGTAAATGTACCACATTTTCCTTATCCATTCTTTGTTCGAGGGGCATTTAGGTTGTTTCCAGATTCTGGCTATGACAAACAATGCTGCTATGAACATAGTTGAGCACATCTCCTTGTGGCACGATTGAGCATCCTTTGGATATATACCCAAAAGTGGTATTGCTGGGTCTTGAGGAAAATTGTTTCCTAATTTTCTGAGAAATCGCCACACTGACATCCAAAGGGGCTGTACCAGCTTACGTTCCCACCAGCAATGCAGAAATGTTCCCTTTTCCCCACAACCTCTCCAGCATAAGTTGTCATCAGTGGTTTTGATCTTGGCCATTCTTACAGGTGTAAGATGGAATCTCAGAGTTGTTTTGATTTGCATTTCTCTGATGACTAAGGATGTTGAGCATTTTCTTAAGTGTCTTTCAGCCATTTTAGATTCCTCTGTTGAGAGTTCTCTGTTTAGGTCTGTACTCCATTTTTTTTTATTGGATTATGTGATCTTTTGGTGTCCAATTTCTTGAGTTCTTTGTATATTTTGGAGATCAGACCTCTGTCTGATGTGGGGTTGGTGAAGTTTTTTCCCATTCTGTAGGCTGTCATTTTGTCTTGTTGACCGTGTCCTTTGCTTTACAGAAACTTTTCAGTTTTAGGAGGTCCCACTTATTAATTGTTTCTCTCAGTGTCTGTGCCACTGGGGTTATAGTTAGGAAGTGGTCTCCTGTGCCACTGTGTTTAAGTGTACTTCCCACTTTCTCTTCTATAAGGTTCAGTGTGGCTGGCTTTATGTTGAAGTCTTTGATCGATTTGGACTTGAGTTTTGTGCATGGTGATAAGTACGGATTTATTTCATTCTTCTACATGTTGATATCCAGTTATGTCAGCACCATTTGTTAAATATGCTTTCTTTTTTCCATTTGATTTTTTTTTTGCTTCTTTGTCAAAAATCAGGTGTTCGAAGGTATGTGGATTAATATCCGGGTCTTCTATTTGGTTCCATTGGTCTTCCTGTCTGTTTTTATGCCAATACCAGGCTGTTTTCACTACTATAGCTCTATAGTAGCGTTTGAAGTCAGGGATTATGATGACTCCAGAAGTTCTTTTATTGTACAGGATTGTTGTGGCTATCCTGGGTTTTTTTTTTCTTTTCCATATGAAGTTGAGTACTGTTCTTTTGAGGTCTGTGAAGAATTTTGCTGGGATTTTGATGGGCATTGCATTGAATCTGTAGATTGCTTTGGGTAAGATTGCCATTTTTACTATGTTAATTCTACCTACCCAAGAGCAAGGGAGATCTTTCCACTTTCTGGTGTCTTCTTCAGTTTCTTTCTTCAAGGATTTAAAGTTCTTGTCAGACTGCTTTCTTACACAGCACCCAGGATCACCAGCCTGAGGGTGGCTGTGTCAACAGTCAGCTGGGCCCTCCCATAGCAATAATCAATTAAGAAAATGCACCACAGACTTGGGTACAAGTCAATGAAGTTCCCTTTTCTAAAATGATTCTAGCTTGTGTCAAGCTGATAAAACTAGCCAGTGCTCCTAGGAAGCTGGTCTCACATTAAGCCAGGCTAAACAGACAGGCAGAATATTTATCCCTTCAATGAGAGGAGGTCCTTGTCCTCAGCGTTCCTGACTCTAGGGCAGCCCCTGTGACCACCATGAGGTTGCCTGAAACCTGACTCAGCAAGGTCCAGCTTTAGCTTCTTGTGTTTTTCTCTCCCTCCCCTTCAGACACTGCACAGAGCAGGAGTGCACTTGTCCTGGGTACACAGGGCTTCCTCAGTCTGTCTCTAAAGCAACTGTTCTTAACTTGTGGGTCACGGGGGCAAGGGGGGGGGTGTCCTCCTAACAGTATCAGAAAACACAGACATTTACATTAAGATTCATAACAGTAGCAAAATTACAGTTACGAAGTAGCAACAGAAATAATGTCATGGTTGGGGGTCGCCACAACATGAGGAACTCTATTCCCTCTCCGTGCTCAGGTGGCTGACCTCCAGGATGGCTTAGGTGATCTGCTGCCAGGGTATTGTTTTGTTTTGTTTTGTTTTGTTTTGCTGCTCTAGGGTTCTCCTGCTACTGAGATCGCAGCTGCCTGCCCTGGGGTTTTTCTTCTAATAAAATTGCCCTCTGTCCATTAACTCTGGCTTTGCTTGGTTTCCAAACCTTTCCTGCCCTTCAGTTCTTTGTCTGTTGGAGGGGAGAGACCCGTTCTTGCACACTCTTGATGGTTTCAGTCTCACCGAGGGCCCCAGGCAAGGACCTGTTTTCTGTTCGTGATTGAGAGAACTAAGGTGTCCATGGGCTTCCTACCTCCACCCTAGGGCTGGGAAGGCTTCATCTCAGAGGGGCAGCGGGGGCGGGTGGGGGTGGGGGTTAAGCTCCACCCCCTAGTGGCTTTTCCCTAGAGCGAAGGATCAGCCCAAGTACAAGTCCTGCTGTGCTAGGGACAGTGTGGTTACCCTAGGCACAGAGAGGTTAAGCTACTTGCACAGTGACACATTGCTCAGAGCAATGATTTGACCCTTAGGTGATCTGCCTCCAGGGCCCACGAGGGTCCCTCCACTCCTTGCCGTGGCTCCTTTGATCCCTTCTGTGCCAGGTCTGGGAGCAAGAGGGACAGACTGGGAAGAAGCAGAGAGCACACAAGGGGCACCGGTCTGGGAGAAGAAAGCGGAACTACGGCGGGAGTTCAGGAATCCCACACTTATTCCTGAGCTACGTGAATGCTCTTGCTGTGTGACGCTGGGTGAGGTCCCAGACCTCTCGAAGTCTGGAGCTCATCATTGGATGAAGGGTTTGGACCGAATCCATGAGACTTAGCCTGGCCGTGCCAATGGATGGGCCGACTTCCCAGCACCAGGCACGTGCTACCTGCATGGTTGAAACACGGCTGAAGTCAATCTTGCAGGAGGTGCGCACACCTCAGGCTTGGGACTCTAATTTTGTTGTTTTTGTTTTAGACAGGCTCTAATGCAGCCCAAGGCTAGCCTCACACTGTGGAGCCAAAGGTAACCTTGAACTTCTAATCCACCTGAACGGGTCTCAGAGCTCTAGAATTTCAGACATAAACCTCCAGACTCCAGAATTTTCCAGGCAAGCACTCTATCAAGTAACACCCAGTCAGGACCCTGCTTTTAAGACGAAACTCTCGGGGCTGTGGCTGTGGAAGGAAGCAGCCTTTGAAACCGGAAGCCTTGTGGAGGCCTCATTTCCCTGATACCTGGGGCAGCACCTGGCTTGGCTTCTCAGGAGGCCTCTGGTCCCTGAGGGCTACATCTTTTCATCCTCCGGTGGTTGATACACAGGCGTTTTCCCAAAGTAACAAGATGTAGGAATCTTCCTCTCCTCACAGACTCTGCAGAAGGAGGGGCTGCCATGTCTTGGGGAGAAGGAGCATGCTGATCTGGGCTGACCCAGCAGGGAGTTATTCTGAGACCCAGGCAAAGATTCAAATCCCAGAGAGGACACTTCCAGACTGGACAACCTTGGATCACTTGCTTGACCTCTCTGAACCTCCACATCCGTCTGTGCCAGACGACAATAGGATTCTGCTCATAGGATTTTTGGGGTGCTTCTCACATACTGGGGACTCAATGGATGGGGCTCTCAGAATTAAGTTCCACCAGTGGGGGCAGGTTGCTGGGCCTGCAGCCAGGCCTATATTTAGTCTAGAAAGGGTGGGCCAGCGTGGTGCCCCAGCAGGCGGAGCTGAGAAGAGAGACTCCTGGAAGGCCGCCCCCACATGCCTGCCCTCCCGGTCAGCGGGGTCACCTTGGCTCAGCCCAGGGCTCCCTTAGACCAGAAGGACCTGGTTTCCAGCGGCAGGAAGCTGCCTGTGCAGGGGCTGCGACCTGTGAGGGGAGACAGGCACCCACCCCACCCAACCCCCCCCCCCGCTGAGGACAGTCCCCCTTCCTGCGCTGGTTTTCCGGCGGGCTGCTGTGGTCTTCTCGCCAAGGTGAACCTGACCTCGGGTCGGGGGCGAATGGGGAAGGCTGTCAGTCCCGCCCCACGCCCCAGCCCCGCGCCGATGAGTGTTGGGGCTGCAAATAGCCCAGCGGAATCCGTGACTCACGAGGCTGGAAATACTGCACCCCCACCTCCCCTCCCTGCTCCGACCGCGGTCGCCAGCGGAGCTGCTCTGGGGAGCACAGTCGGCTACTCTGATTTCAGTAGGAGCAAGGAGACCCTTCCCCCATTCCCACTCCACTCCTCCCCCACTCCCACCCCCCACCCCCGCCCGCCCGCACCCGGAACACTCCAGGCTTACAGCCATCCATCACCTCTCCCTGAGGTTGACCCTACCCCAGTTGGTTGTATCTTCTGAGCTGTGTGACCTTAGGCCTATCACTTAGCTTCTCTGGGCCTCAGCGGCCCCATCGAGGGGAGGGACTTCGAGAAGGGACATTGTGGCCCTTGGCTTGGGACAGCATCGAATGCAGTGCTGGTACAGAGTCCAGCTCAGACATTCCTCTTGAACTACAGAATGAATACAAAAGGAAGGGCAGGCAGCAGGGAGACAGGATGCTGTAAGCCTTTCTGTAGAATAACGCCGGATTTCTGCAGGCAGGTCTGGGGAGACGGGAGGTCAAAAGTTCCTCACATTTCCGGCCTTAAGCTTCTTTCCCCAGTCCCGAAGTCCTCCCCACCCACTCAGTCTCCTCTCTCAGGTAGAACTCCAGGTGGGGTCTCCACAGGTCTCTCATACTGTCCTTTTATTGTGTATAGGTTGTAGAGACCAGATTCCTGTCTCTACAGGAACCCCCACCCTCCCTGTCCCCAGGGTCCCAAGATAGCAGGAGTCAGAGGCCCCAAGGACCCCAGCTAACTGAGAGCTTCCCCCTCTCACACACCTGCTTCTACCATGGGAGACTGAGACAAGCCAGGGTCAGAGCCCTGGTCACCCCCCCCCCCCTTTCCCCCCCCCACAAGGGTCTTTGTGTCCTGGACTTGGAGGGCAGAAGGGATCTGGGATGGGGCTCTTCCTGTGACCACCCTGTGCAGGGGACATGTGAAGGAAGGCCTGTGGCTCTCAAGAGTTGGAGTCAGGGGACCGTTCCCTAGGGCACAGAGGTGAGAGGCTGAGGGCAGCTGAGGCAGTGCTGGGTTCAGAGCCAACCTTCAGCGGCAAAACCGAGCATCCAACTGGCTCAGAGATGCTATGTCCCCATTGATGAAAATAGAGATGCTAACTCTGATTTAGGACGGTTCGAACTGGGCTTGAACCAAAGGGAATGAGTATTTCAGGACTAGGACAATGGCCTGTATATGTGTGGGTAGATTGGTGGATTAGCAAATCCTGGGGCAGCTCTTGCTCTCACTTCTGCCGAGGACTCTCTCTGCAAGGGGAGCCGCCCAGGAGCGTAGGTCTCTACTAGGAAGGAGGAGACTCAGTCTGGCCTAAGGCACCAGCAGCTGGACATAGGAGGCCCACCTGGGTGCAGGTGGCCTTGCCTGGCACAAGTATCTGATCGAGGACCAGCGTGACAGGTAGCCCTGGGTTTGAGGCTTGGAGAGCTGCAGCTCTGGGGAGGTGGCTGTCATGGCTATCTCTCTGGTTTGTCTGAGGCAGTCCACCTAGGCCAGCAGCACCGCTTGCGGCCAACTCTTATATTCCACTTGCCAGGAGGGTCCCTGGTCCCCTGCCCCGCAAAGATGCCATCCATGTCTCTCTGTCCTCTGATCATTTGCTCAGAAGCACAGTCCCCATCTTTCTCCCCAAGTCCATACTTCAACACCTCTATTCGTGAACTAAGATAGGGAGGTCCCATCTGGGTGAGGGTCGTGGGGTTGCCCCAGGTGGAGAGGAGGGCCCTAGTTTGGGGGGAAGGGAGTGACCCACCTGGGGCCTAAGAGTGTGTGGGGTGACTGGAACCTAGGCTGAGATGTTCTGGGGGCCGTTGTCAGGGGTCAAGATGACCTCAGCAGCAGGCCGGTTGAGGAGGAGATGGGGGAGGACAGGGGTGGGGAGACCCTCAGATCTTTATCTCCGTCCGGAAGGTCTGCTGGACGTGCTCCGTGCGTGGGTGACGCCGTGCCCGGATGGTGAGGCTGCCATCCTCTCGAAGGGCCGAGGTCACCGATGTAGGGTCCACATCCTCTGGTAGTTGGCACTTGTGAGCGAAGGTGTTCACGACTGTGCCATCAGCAGCCAGCTGGGGAAGGGGTGACAGGTCAGGAGTGACCGCCCCAGCTCTGGTCCCATCCTGGGTCCTGGTCATGCCCAGATCAAGCCAGAGCCTCCTCTTTGCTCTCTGTCCCCAGTGACCCCACTGCTCTCAGGTGTGGAGGAGCTGGCCAGAGATCTGGGGGTGGTCAGGATCCAAGGGCTCTGCAGAGGGGCTCCAGTGGTCCCAGGGGGAACTGGATGTAGAATGGGGTTAGGTGGGCTCCATAAGGGCTGAGCTTCCATAGAAGTAGCTGGAAGACTAGGACTCTTGAGCCATGGTGGGAAGATGACACAGCTGTGCCCTCTGGATCCCTAGACACCCTGAGTATCCACCACCAGGGCCACCACCCTCCCCCGCAGCCCAGCTAGCACATAGTGTCCAGCAGCGTCGGCTGGCTGAGTCACCCCTGAGACGTGGGGCTGGCACGTGCAGCCAGTGGCCCGCAGTCCTCGAACCCCTGGCAGGGCTTCCTAGTGTCCAGCCTGAATTAGGGGAGCTAGCCAGGCTTGGGGGTGGTCAAGGAGGCCTTGGCAAATATCCTCTAAGAATCAGCATGGCCCTAGGGACTGGGGCAGCCACTATCTATCTGTGCTGGCCGTGCCTTCCCTGATGAGCTAGCTGCTCTGAGACTCTGGGCAAAGTACTTGGGGTCCAGGGTGGGTGTGGCTCTGAGCTTCATGGCTTCCTCTCAGCCTCAGGCCCAGTGTGGGGGTGCCAAAACAGGACCCACGCTTCTGGCTCTGGGATGAAAGGGGGTGAAGGTGTGGCGTGAGTGGACTGTGCTTCCCAGGTGCGCTCGGTCACTGCCACATTCCTCTCCCTTCTGCCAAGGAGCCGTCCTTACTCCACCATGGTCTCCCTCACCCACTCATGTCTCAACCACTCCAATTCCCTTCTGCCCACATCCCAAGATCCCTCTCTCATCTCTGGAGGCTCCCAGGTGCCATGATATGGGCTCCTGAAGACAGGTTCTGTGAACCTTAGGTTGGAGAGGGGCATGCAGGTCCCTGGCCTATGAGCCCACTGGAAACAAACTGCAATTTGCCCTGGGGGAGTACAGACAGGTTAGGAACATGGGTCAGGGTATGAAGTCTCAAAAGACAGGTGCCAGTAGGGGACATAGAACCAGCTAGATTAGGCAGAGTCCAGGGGAAGGTGGGGACTCTGGGGTGGAGCAGACTCCAGACTCACCTTCTCCGCTCGCACCTCGATGTGGTTGTTGGAGGTGGTGACAATAATATCTTCAGGGGAAAAGTCTCTCATGTCCACGGTAAACTCATAGGCATCCCCGAGGGTCTTGATGTTGCCTTGGCCCCCAGGACGGGCTGTGGGCAGAGCTGCTATAAGCTGGGCACCCAGCAAGCCCTGAACCACAAACCTAGGTCTCTGCTCTTCTTTTGGGGAAATGAGTGGCTCTCCCAGATAACAGCTCCTCTCCTCACTCTTGTGGCTCACCTTGTCGGGGGGGGGGGTGTCTGGGGGTGAGCCTCATCCTATTCAACATGTCCCTATGCATGAAAGTCCCTCCTTTAGCAATTCTATCCAGACCTAGAAGCTCTGAGAGGCCAGCCACCCCTCAGCCCCAGCCAGCCCTCCAGGGTTCCCATTAGGACATGGGCCATGTGAGACTCACCATTGTCCCCAGAGGCCCACCTGTATCATAGACATATCTGCCTTGGTGGCCAGGTGGCTGGAACCCATGCAGCACCTATTCCTGGCAGATGAGTGGCCACAGCCCGCTCAGCGATGCCATGGAGCAGACCTTCCCACCTGTGTCTCTCCCCTCCCAGCACTTGCCTGGGAAGGTCAGGGTCTCCGAGTGGGGCCGCATGAAACTGCCAAAATCCTCAGAAAACATGCTCAAAGCCTTCTCCATGGGTGGGTCCTGGGCTGGGAGGGCTCGGGAGGCCGAAGAAGAAGAGGAAGAGGAAGAGGAGGAAGAATGGAAGCTTCTCTCCGCTCTGAAGGCGGAGGAGGTCCGGTGGCTCATTCACAGGCAGCAGGGACCCTGTCTAGGCAGGGGCTGGGCTGGAGAAGCAAGTGGGTGCAGGCCTCCAGGGAAGCATGCCGGGGGGCCAGATTGCCAGCGCTTTATAAGGCCCGGCCGTCCCTGGGCTCAAGGCCAGCCCCTTGTCTGCTGGCTAAATTTAGGCCTCTTCATGGCCCAGAGGGGCCTGGAAATCTTCTTGGGAGAAATGGCCCTGCTGACAGCCTGACACACAAGGGCCGGCTTGGAGGGCTGAGCTCATCGCCTGGCACTCCAAGACCGGAGCTCCAGCCCCAAGGGCCTCTGTAGCGGCCAGGGCAGGGGGTGGGTCCTGCCCTGTGCCTGCCCCAGGACTTTGTGGTTTGCTGTTTGCCTCCCTAGCCAGGGACCTGACTCTCCTCTTAGACTGATTCTCAGGGTCTGTGCCTCAGTGATCTGACTCCTGAGGAGAGGGCGCGTGCAAGAGCCTTGCTGGACTGTTTGTGGGATACCAGCAGCTCCAGGATTAGCTGTATCTTCAAAAAGGTTGAGACAGCCCAGGGAGGGAAATTGGACAGCATAGCTGACCCCTGACAACTCCCACAGTGACCCCGGTTCCATGTCGTTGTCCTCATCCAAGCTCTCAGAACCTTTAGCAGCAGAATAGCCGCTAGCTGGCAGCGGGAGGTGGGGCTAGGGCGCTTCAGGGAAGGGGCAGATAGTTCGACAACTATCCTTAAAGATCTGGGAGTCTAGGTTGTCGGCAAGAGTCTGCTCCATCTCAGACTCAGAGGAGTCGTCTGCCCGGGATCGTGGTCATAGGAGATCACATCCAGGCAAAGAGAATGCTGGTGGCTCCCGGGGTGTCTCTGGGCACTGCTGTCCCTTTCCAGCAAAGCCTCTAGACCAGGAAATCGAGCCTCCCAGGAAGGGAAGCACGTTAGAATGGCTGGGATTCCACCCCAGATGTGCCTGACCCTTGTGTCCAAGAAGAGGTCCCTTTCTACTACGAGTAGAACCCCAGATTGCATGACACTGGGCAGGGGACAGAAACCAGGGGAGGCACTTTCCAGAGGCAGGTGGCCCATCAGTCCATCAAGCAGTTTTGGAACACAAATCTTGCCCTTTCTTCCCATAAAATCACCGCATTCCTCTCTCCCATGGAAGCTTCTTGTTGCTCTGGACTACACAGGACTCCTTCTGTCCAGAGTCCCCAGCACCTGCAGTGTGACATTGTCTTCATGAGTTCTGACCCTTCTCTTGGTACCCCTCATCCTTACTCCTGGGGCAGAATCTCCTGTCTTCCCTCCAACACCCCATTCACCCAGGAGTTCCTGAAGATGAGGACTCCTCTTGTCTCTGGGTTCACAGAGCCAAGACTGGAGCTGCATCCCTGGTAATACAGACAGGACAGGGCAGGGTAGAACTGGGGGTCAGCGTGATGGCTGGAGCTACAGGGATCTGTCACCCCCTGACATCCCCTGGAACTGGAGTTATGGATGATTAGGAATTACTCATGTGGGGGCTTAGAACTGAACCGGGGTCCTCCGTGTTGGCTATCCTGACTGAAGGGAGACTGGCAGGGCTTCATTCAGGGGGTCACCGGGACTGAGGTGAGATAGAAAGAGGTGGGGTCGCGTGGGGCCCCCCCAGAGCAGCCTGCCAGGGAAACAAGAGCCAACAGCTAAAAGCAGACACGCTGTCACCATCACGGTGCTGAGGGCCTGAGTCACTGCTGCTGGGTGTCAGCTCCCTCTACCCCCACACCCGCCCACCAGTCCCCTCCTTTTCCCCACATCCCTGAAGAGTCATCTACATAAATACTGAGTCCTCTGGCTTCAGTGGCCAGGCGGGACCTCAAAAGGTCACTGAGGTCATTCTCTGACACCAGGCACGCTTCTGTCAGATCACAGGAATAGGAGGAGCCTCAGAGAGGATCCAGGTCATCACTGGGTGTGGTGGCATATGCCTGTCATCCCGGGAGAATCAGGAGTTCAAGGCCAGTCTCAGCTTCATAGGAAGTTGGAGGTCATTATTCAGTGGCCCTAAACGGCCTCTCCAAAGTCCAAGGGATGTCATGGGAGAGGGGATGGAAGGACAGAGGCAGTGGAAGGATGGGGAGGGAGGCACGGGGTGGGGTGCTGTCACCTGCATATGACACGACCTTGCGAACACCAGCACAGAGCAGCTTTGTCTGTCTACCTGGGGCCTGGGGGAAAAGAGGGACATTCGGGATGGCAGGGGGAGGGGGTGAGTTAGGAGGAAGGGAGTCATTGAGTGACAGTGAGGGGAGCATAGGGTGGGGTGAGGGAGATCCGGGTGCAGAGCACACAAGTATGAGACTGTCAGAAAACAAGAACCCCAAGGGCTGGAGAGATGGCTCCGCAGTTAAGAGCACTGACTGCCTTTCCAGAGGACCAGGGTTCAGTTCCCAGCCACGTGATGTCTTACAACCCTCTAACTCCAGCTCCAGGGGATCTGGCTCCCACGAGGAGCAGCAGACGTGCATGTGGCGCACAGACTACACACACAGAATAATAAAGTGTATGTTTTTCAAAAGCCAAGAACTCCAGAAAGGATGCTGGTCCAGTCTCTTGAATTTGGGGCATCTTCATCCCGGGAGCATTTTCACAACACAGGTGCTCCCCACGTTTCTGATCTGGGAAGCTGGAGAGATGGCTCAGCCTATTGCTTTTGCAGAGGGCCCAAGTCTGGTTCCCAGCACCCACAGCAGGCAGTTCATCACCACCTATAACTTCAGCTCCAAGGTTTGCAGCACCCGCTTCTGACCTCTGTGGGCACAACACTTATGCACCCACATGTAGACATACAATTAAAAATAAAATAAAACTTGTACATTTTTATTAGATTTATTCATTTTTTGATTTTATATGTGCTTTGTCTGCATGTATCCATGTGTACCATGTGAATGCTTTGTGCTTGTGGAAGCCAGAAGAGGGTGTTGGATCCCCTGGAACTGGAGATCGGATGATTGTGAATTATCCATGTGGGGACTGGGAGTCGAACCAGGGTCTTCTGCAAGAACAAATGCTCTTAACTGCTGAACCATCTCTCTGGCCCCAAATAAACCTGATTTAATAATAAATATAAAATGATATAATATATATCAATCAAATGATTCTGATGAAGACCAGGAATTCTTCCCCCTCAGCTCCTACACAGCCGGCCTGAAGGCCAGAGTAAGGAATCCATTCACAGAATGCCTCCTGGGTGATGTTTAGGCCTGGGAGACTTGGATAAATGGAAGGCAGGCAGACCCTTGCTGCAAGGCCCATAGGACAGAAGTGACCAAGGCTCTGGTCAAGGAAGGAGTTGGATGGCAGGTCTGTTCTGGCTTCAGACCTGCTATAACAGGACAGCTGCCTCTGCTCCTCAGGCACCTAAGACAGAGGAGAAGCTCGTGGGTGGGGAGACTGGCAGGTAGGGCTAGCACATTTGGGAGGAACTTACCCTGAGCATAGGAACACCTGATATCCGTGTCTCAGCTTCCTGGTGCTCACAGTGGGGTGTGGGCATGTGAGGCCAGTTATGACACCAGTGCCAGCTAGCTGCCAAGACCAGAGACGTGTTTGGGTTGTCAACAGAACAGCTAAACCATCTGTTGACAGCTGGGGAAGGGGAAGGTAGCCCTGGCTGTGCAGAACAGTTGGGTCCTGCTCACTCTACATCAAAAACACAAAATAGCAACAACAACAAAACATCCTCGCTCCTATTTTGAAGTAACTATAGTTAGAAGCTGTTAAGAGTCTTGGATTTTGCTGGTGGTGGCAGTGCACGCCTTTAATCCCAGCACTTGGGAGGCAGAGGCAGGTGGATCTCCTTGAGTTCGAGGCCAGCCTGGTCTACAAGAGCTAGTTCCAGGATAGGCTCCAAAGCTACAGAGAGACCCTGTTTCAAAAAACAAAAAAACAAAAAACAGAAACAAAAAAAAAAACAGAAACAAAACAAAACAAAACAAAAAAGTCTTGGCTTTTCATCAGTCACTGGAGGGACATAATCTTCGGAGTGGTAACAGGGTTGACAAGGGGAGGAAGGGCAAATCACCCCTTACCTAGATTTTCTTTTCTCTTCCTCCTCTTCATCTCCTCCTATTCCTTGACACAGTGTCTCATGTAGCCCAGGTTTCACTCCGATTTGCTATGTAGAGGAAGATAACCACGAGCTTCTGATCCCCCTGCCTCTAAGCTCCCAAGGCCTGGGACTGCAGACATGTGCACCACACTGGGTTTACCAGGTCCTACAAACCAAACTCAGGGTCTCATGCATGCTGGGCAGGCGTTCTACTAACTGAGCTGCCTCGACAGCCCCCCCCTCCAATCTTCTAAACGTAGCCCCAGGCACAAGCTCTTTATATTGTGTCCAGTTTCTTGGGAGCTTGGAGATGGGACAGACAGTCTGACCCCAAGTTCAACCTCTGCTTTGTGACCATTGGTGAGCGACTGCATTTCTCTGGCCTTTCATCAAGCACTGCAAAATGGTGTCATTACTTCAACTTACAAGGGTATGGAGGCCACACTAAACAGTGGAGCAGTGCCGCCAGCTCACACACATGCACACTCTCATATGTATACACATACACACACAGAGATGCACGCACACACATATGTACACATGCATGCACATACATGTGTACACATATGCGCATGTGCACACACACAGACACACAAACACACACACTTCTTTGCCGTCTCCTCATGCTTTTCTCAGAGGACCCTGCCACAGCCATAGGGGCAGTTTTCTGAGATTCAGGGGCTAGATGAAAATTTCATTCATTTCCTTGCCTCATGGTCTCCAGCCCTCCCAGTTCACCCACTCTTTTTCCCACCCCTGAACAAGATGGGACTGTCAAAGCAAACCCCCAGAACAGTGTGCCTGCATAGGTGTCAGGCAAACCGTGGCGGGAGTCCTGCTTCTGGGCTCTTTGAGGTGGGGGCACTGGGTGCGTGCCTCTACTTCGGCGGGCCTCTGTGATCTCGGACAAGAAGCCTCACAGTTCTGCAATGCCATTATGGGCCATTTCCTCGGGTTTGGGGAGAGCTCAGTCATTTGGGGCAGTTCTGAGCATTGTGGGACTAGCCACGTGACCCCGTTGCTCTGTACC